CCTCATCACGCTGTCTCAAGCTGCCGTCTGCGTGACTTCGCACTTGGCCATCACCTGGCCGGGGTGTTGTCAGGTTTTCCCACCATCAGATGATTCTTTCCTTCCTTCCTTTACGTACTGTAGTCTCTAGAAGGAAGGACTGCACGGCCGCACTCAGGGAGTGGGGAGTCAGGCTTCACCTCCTTGAGGGCCGAGCATCTGCGTAAGTTGGTTGAGATTTTTCTGCAGGGGAGATTTGAATCTTCTCTCTGATTTATTCGTTTATTCAGTCATTTATTTTAATATGGACTTACGGATATTTATTTTATACTTTGTGTTATATTCAAAAATTACTTTATTTTGTTGCTTAAGTTATTCCAGACAATGTGATTTTTTAATAATGATAATGAAAGAGAGGACAGTCAAGTATCCAAATAAGTGGTGGCTTGCCAAGTACTATTTTTTTAAAGAACATGTTGAAAATGTAGAATGAAGAGCATATGATCAAAAGTAAATTAAAAGGCAAGGTGCAGTGGCTCACGCCTGTAATCCTAGCACTCTGGGAGGCCAAGGTGGGAGGATCACCTAAGCTCAGGAGTTCGAGACCAGCCTGAGCAAGAGTGAGACCCCATCTCTACTAAAAATAGAAAAATTAGCCAGGCAACTAAAAATAGAAAAAATTAGCCAGGCATGGTGGTGGGGGCCTGTAGGCCCAGCTACTCGAGAGGCTGAGGCAGGAGGATCACTTGAACCCACGAGTTTGAGGTTGCAGTGAGCTATGATGACACCACTGCACTCTAGCTGGAGCAACAGAGTGAGACCCTATGTCAAAAAAAAAAAAATCTGCTAGATCTATATGTGGTCGCTTGTATAAGATATAAACATTAAATATCCAAATCAAATATCAAAATATCAGCAAACTAATAGCAGTACTTTTTTTCTTTGTTTTTTAAATTACACCATTTGACCAGGTGTTCTTGTGTGTAGCTGTCCACTGTGCTAAGTCATTGCTGTCTTGAAGCTAACTGGTCCCCTAGATACAACAGTCTCTTCCGAAACCTTCTAGAAATGTGTCCACTGAAGGAAGTCTCTCCTTCATAGGATCCCAGCACTTAGAAGGTTCTATGTAACATTTGTATAAATATAGACAATCGTAATTAAATCATACAATAAATGCCTAAAATAGCATTTTATGAGTGTTTCGTCCATTTGGTTTAATGCAGTTACTGCTGTAGTTGGGTTTATGTCTACCATTTTGCTGTGTGTTCTTTTCTATTTGTTCCTTTGTTCCACCTTTCTTATCTTCATCTGATTTAATAAAGTATTTTAATTTCATCTTTCCCTTCTGTTAGCTTATACTTTTATTAATCTTTTAGAGGCTACCTTGTAGATTACAACAGCATCTTTGACTTACTACTTTGCATCTTTTAATAATACATTTACCATCTCCCAAACAATGCAAGAAATTGATAACAGTTTAACGCCATTAACCGTCTCCTACCCTCTGTGCCATTATTGTTATATATTTTGCTTCCATATGTGTTGTAAGCCCCTTAAGATATTATTACTCTTTTAAACAATCAATATTTATTTTTGTTTAACCACATATTTGTCCTCTCTTTCGGTCTTCATTTCTTCCTGCGATTCTGTGCAGTTTTAGCATCTTCCCTTCAACATCAAGAGCTCCTTTAAGTATTTTTTCTAGGACAGGTTGGTTGACAGCAATTTTCTCAGCTTTTGTTTGTCTGAAAACCTTATTTTGCCAATCCTTTTCGAAGGATGTTTCACTGGATATACACTCTAGGTTGGCAGGTTTTTTTTTTTTTAGCGTCTTGAAGTTTTCTTTCGTTTAATTTCTGTTGAAAAGTCACCTCAGTCTGATTGTTGCTCCTTTGAAAATTAACGTGTCTTTTTTCCTCTAGCTGATTTTCTCTTTGCCTTTGGTTTTTAGCATCTTGTCTAAGATGTGCATAGGTATGGTTTTGTTTGTATTTCTCCTACCCGGCGTTTATTTGATTCTTTTTGACAGATTTCAGGTTTTTGTTGAAATTTACCTGTTTGAAGATGATTTGGGAAATGCTCTCAGAAAAATTCCACAGTGAATGTGGTGCTCAATTCACGTACTTCTCTTCCCTCAGAAATTGTAGCTCCTTGAATCCTTCCTGCATTGGTACACTCTATTGCCTTCAAATCGTGTTTCCTATCTTTTGTACAACTCATAAGTTGTTTTCAGCTATTTCATTATGGCCAGACTTGGAACTTTCTGGAATAGCTTTTCAATAGCTGTGGTTACTTAGGATTTCATGATTGATCCTGATGAATGTTTTTAATATTGGTTTTCTCTGCTAAATCTGTTATTTTGAAGAAGATAGTAAGCAATTTGTAATTTGAAAAGATGCCCCCCATTCCCATCCTATTCCAACGAGTTTAGAAAAACAAGCTAATCAGATACTTGGTGTGTTTTAAAATCTATTTATATGTGACTTTGCCACCATATCCTTTTATAATATTTTCTAGGACCACGATCAAGGATTCCCAGGGTACCATCCAGGTAGAAATAGCAAACCATTCAAATTGGCACACCTTCCCTGGATGCCATTTGATTACACAGTCAGTTTGGATATTTTTATGATTCTTGATATAAGGTGTGGTTCAAAAAATATTTAATCAGGCCGGGCATGGTGGCTCACACCTGTAATCCTAGCACTCTGGGAGGCCGAGGCGGGTGGATCCTTTGAGCTCAGGAGTTCGAGACCAGCCTGAGCTAGAGTGAGACCCCGTCTCTACTGAAAAAACAGAAAGAAATTAGCTGGACAACTAAAAATATATTAAAAAAAAATTAGCCGAGCATGGTGGCGCATGCCTGTAGTCCCAGCTACTCGGGAGGCTGAGGCAGAAGGATCGCTTGAGCCCAGGAGTTTGAGGTTGCCGTGAGCTAGGCTGACTCCATGGCATAGCCTGGGGAACAGAGTGAGACTGTGTCTCAAAAAAAAAAAAAATTAATCAGTTTATGGATGCCATTTAGTTACTGTTTCTCTGCCAGGTCCCTGGGTCGGCTCTACTTTCCTCCTCCTCTTAGTTCCCTACTAGTTCCTTTAACTAGTATCTAGAATCCCTGCTATTATATTCAGGACACAGTGCTGGGCTGGGTTAAGGAAAGTATATAAAATAATTGATGAGAACCCCCTACCCACCTGTACTCCTTCTACTCCTGTGTCGGTGAACCATGCACATACCTGAGCAATTCTACATAAAGGCAAAATGTGTCACAAAGGAATAAACAGCTGCTGAATTATTAATCCTAGAGTCTGCTCTAGGGTCCTGTAATTCTTACCCATTTCTTTTCATCATTAAGTTAACAAGGGGTTTGTGAATACAGTGGGTGAGAATTATTTTCTTTTAGCTAAAAAAAAACCATACCATAACCTTTTTTTTAAAGAAATACACATTTTACTATCTCAGCTCCTGAATATGTCAGTTTAAATCTTTGCTTATTTCCCTTTGATCTTTTCCATTTAAACACGTATCTTATATACGTATCATGATGTATAATTTTACAGTCTGCATTTTTCACTGTCATAAACTTTTTACTTCAATATTGTCTTCATAATTGTACTATTTTAATTATTTGATTTTTTTTTTCTCATTGGTATGCTAGTATTTAACAAATTTTTTTGTTTGACGGGGGTGGATCTTTTTCCAGTTTTCAAGATTAGATATAATGCCACATTGAACATCTTTGATTCAGGAATCCCACTACTAAAATAATTCAAAAGAGAAAAAGTTGTTGCATAAATAAGATGAATATTGAATATTTTTGCGATTCTTTTTTTTTTTTTAATTCTTCTTAGAGACAGTGTCTCTGTTGCCCAGGCTACAGTGCAGTAGCAGGATCATAGCTCACTGCAACCTCAAGTTCATGAGCTCAAGTGATCCTCCTGCTTCAGACTCTAGAGTATCTGGGACTACAGGTGCACACCACCATGCTCAGCTAATTTTTTAAATTTTTGTAGAGACAGGATCTCACTATGTTGCCCAGGCTAGTCTCAAACTCCTAGACTCAAATGATCCTCCCACCTCAGTCTCCCAAAGAGCTGGGATTTACAGGCATGAGCCACTATACCCAGCCTTATTTTTGTGATTCTTGATACAAGCTGTGGTCCAAATTATATTTTATCAGTTTATGGTGCCACAAGTGGTTTTTATGACAGCCCTTGCATTAGGAGCTGTAACTTAAAAATATTGGCATATTTAGCAGCTATAAATGATACTTTAAATTTGTTTTCATTTGTGTTTCTTGGGTTAGTAATATGGTTGAATGATTTTCCCTCATCTTATTTGCTATCGGAATTCAGAGGATCACTTTCAGCATTGAGCTTTTGGCTATTAATAAAGCATCAGATATGGTAACTTACGGTATCTCCAAGGATAGTTGTTAATGGGTGTTAAATGAGATTGCGTATGTTAACGTACTCTGAACAGTGCCCAAACCATTACAGGCACATGTTTGTCTCTAGAAGATATAAATGTGCAAGTATGTTGTATCTTTCATATCGTTTCTTTCTCTATCTTGGGGAAATGAGAAAGTATGCCTATTTGTCTCATTATTGAACATATTAAAAACAAATTTTTATTTCAAGTAATTTGATATAACTTCAGTGTTTTCAAATGAATTAATCACCACATATAGGAGAAATTAGACTTTGAAGTTTAATTCTTTTATATTTTAATTATATAAAGTCTATGTATACAAGAGTGTTTAGATGCAATAAGAAAAAAAATTGAAGTTGATTACATTATTTCAGTTTCAAAAAATCTCTAATCCTTATATCCCTTTAGGTATAATAAAGGATTTTTGCTAATGTTAATAAATTCCATTATTTTTAGGTTATCAAACTTACAAAATTTATCATTGAAGATAACTGATAAGATTTGGTCAACTGTGTTAGTTGAAGGTATTTTTCTTCCTGATATATATATGGTCTTTAAAGGTATGTGTTGTTTCTCTTATTTTTCTTCAGGTTAAAAAGGCCTTCTTTGCCTTGGTAGCCAACGGTGTCCGAGCAGCCCCACTGTGGGAGAGCAAAAAACAGAGTTTTGTAGGTAAGCAGCGTGGGCCTGGGGCATCTAAAACGGGAAACCTTAAAGGCAGAAAGCCCAAAGTGTTTCAATAGGTGCTGGTTTGGAATTCACCCAGCAGCCATGTTACCAAATTACAGAGCATTCTTGCTTTACACGCCGGGTGAGGAGGGGCTGCCAGTAAGTAAATTCAGAACTATCGTACTTTTGTGGAGCTCCTTTTTTTTTTGGTTGAATTTCTTTCGATTTAGCAACTGATTTGGCCTTCTGAAGGAGCTTCTGTGTGTTTGCCAGCCCAGTGAAAAACCCCACGTGGGACGCC